CACACCATTGGCGAGCACATCGACACGAGAATATTCGACAAATGCCTGTAAAGGAGAAGTTCATTGCTGCCTAAAAAGATGGTGCAGCGCTATCAGCACACTTGTAAGGTCTACCGACAGAATCTCGCCCAGAGCAGACGAGTCCTCTACCCTGCCATCCACCTAGTCGGAGAGGGGATCTAACTTTCTATGGAACCTTGAATAGGAGGCATGAAAGAGTGCTGGGCCTTGGTTTTCTGGTTATAAATATGGGCATCAGGTTCGGGAGATTAAGCTCCCAAACAACCCACAATTAGCAGTTTGGTCCAGAATCATGGTATTCAACAAACGCAATACCGCAAAGGTAACTGCAATTAGGCGCTTAAGCGATAAATATTCGAGAAGCAAAGCAAAGCAAAGATCGTCGACATCGTCATCGAACCAGGACAACTCCGACAAGTGAGATGGAGGGTCCCCCCCATACCTAACCAGTCTAATATTTTTTTTCTGATTGAGCTGTAAGGATCGATTGTGACGGAGGTTTTCTCTCTTATTTAGCAGTTCGAGCAACCCCACATGAGTGGTTTCTGAGTCAAGGGCATCCTTTTCCACTTCCAACCGAACAAACTCCACTCACTTGAGATATTTCCCTAAGAGCATCGGTCTCTTCTTCGCATCGCCTTTTATTTTGTCGTCGTCGATGGATCGGAGTGGATACAATGATTCTTTCCTCAAGCTCATACATCGGATCACAATTGAAACCCTCTTTGCAAGGCACGAACACCGGGGCAGCACGTCTGCAACAAATACATTCACTATATTAGATCCATCTTTTGATTAGGATGTAATGACATACTTGGCTAGAACAGCAGCGAAATCGATCCGGGACACGTATGGATGCCGTTTAAGCGTGGCCAACGAGTCAATCCGACGTTCCGGTGCCGGATACAGCAGAAGACGTAGGAAACTGAGCAAATCCGTAGGCCAGTGGGCAGGAAAAGGAATAAAGCTTTCGCTAATCAACAACAGCACCTTAATGAAAATAGTTTTTTGCTTATATTTTCATCACAAATTTAAATTCATATTCGTGTTCCATGGAGCTCCAACAAGGGCACGGAATTAGGCCGAATACAGGCTTCGCAAAAAAAAAAACACTGAACAAAAATGTCCTCCTATAGACTCGAAGTTACTGCAAGCTTAACTTGAAGGAAAATTCTCGAAAACAGGATTAGTGTAAGAAACCCGAATGAAGAGCGAAATGTGGCGGTCAGTGGAAGGAGTTCCCCCAATCGGCCACGGTAAAAACGACAAACTCTCCAGCACAAACCAATAATGATTAAAAAGGGAGGAGCCAAAAATGGCAAAGCATAGGCGAGTATGCGTTTTCGCGATGCGTACTAGGCGGTATTCACGCACACTACGCCTGCCTCATAGCCGCACGCGACACGCACGCGGGTTTGCAAGCTTTTCACTCATTTGTCTATGTGAAAATTACCTGCTCAGCAGTTGCTTGTGGGCTAAACTCATAGGGAGTCCGACCTCTCATCATCTCGTAGAACGTGACTCCTAATGACCACCAGTCCACTTTTGAATCGTAGCCATCAATGAGCCCCAATGCACAAGCGTACACCTCGGGCGCCATATACGGTCTGGTACCTGACACAGAGTGACACACTTTTTGGTTACAACCACTAATGTAGAAAGCAAACACTTCCAACTTTGTTTAATAAAGTAAAAAACGACTATGTTCCTCTGGAAAGAGTCAACGTAACAAATTTTACCTGAGTATGAAGTAGCAAGGTTGTTCGGCTCAAGTTGCGTGGCCAAATTGAGGTCT